CTCATTCCGTATTTGTCTATCTATCTATCTATCTATCTATCTATCTATCTATCTGTTTCAGTCAGTTTCTATCTATCTATCTATCTATCTATCTATCTGTTTCAGTCAGTTCCTATCTATCTATCTATCTATCTATCTATCTATCTGTTTCAGTCAGTTCCTATCTATCTATCTATCTATCTATCTATCTATCTGTTTCAGTCAGTTCCTATCTATCTATCTATCTATCTATCTATCTGTTTCAGTCAGTTCCTATCTATCTATCTATCTATCTATCTATCTGTTTCAGTCAGTTCCTATCTATCTATCTATCTATCTATCTGTTTCAGTCAGTTCCTATCTATCTATCTATCTATCTGTTTCAGTCAGTTCCTATCTATCTATCTATCTATCTATCTATCCCAGTCAGTTCATTATCTATCTATCTATCTATCTATCCCAGTCAGTTCATTATCTATCTATCTATCTATCTATCCCAGTCAGTTCATTATCTATCTATCTATCTATCTATCTCAGTCAGTTCATTATCTATCTATCTATCTATCTATCTATCTCAGTCAGTTCATTATCTATCTATCTATCTCAGTCAGTTCATTATCTATCTATCTATCTATCTCAGTCAGTTCATTATCTATCTATCTATCTCAGTCAGTTCATTATCTATCTATCTATCTATCTATCTATCTCAGTCAGTTCATTATCTATCTATCTATCTCAGTCAGTTCATTATCTATCTATCTATCTATCTATCTCAGTCAGTTCATTATCTATCTATCTATCTCAGTCAGTTCATTATCTATCTATCTATCTATCTATCTATCTGTTTCAGTCAGTTCCTATCTATCTATCTATCTATCTATCTTCACTCTTCGATAAAACGAATCGAGTTCTCTCAGTCACTGTGTGTTTATCTAAATATAAATACGCTTAAATACACCTTCACCCCTGCCGTTCGCCAACGGCTCAGAGGTGGATTCTCCGACTTACGACTATTTAGCCGAGTTTCGATCCAAGCTAAAGGCAACCGGCCGTCTAACCACACTGATGAGTTGTGATACAGCGAAAAACTTTGTCTGTGGATGACTATATATATATACTAGCAGCATGGCCTGGCATTGCCCGTATTTGATTCAAAAATCGTACGACTCATACAGCAATTGCTATCACTTGACTTAAAATATTTTTGCCCTTCCTTGCCTTTAAAGGAGTGCCCTTTGCCGTGCTGATGTTGCTACATGCCTTACTTCTTGCCTATCTCACACTGCGAATTTTTTCTAAGATCTATACTAAACATTAAATCTCTTACGAAAAAAAAGAACTATACAAAATGAACACAAAACGATCAGCTTTAAAAAAGAACTCGTAACTGGAAAACCGAATGAAAAAGAATGTTAACAACAAATACTTTTTTCACACCCAACCCAGTTCTGCGGAATCCGAATCAACGTTGAGTTTAAGCAAGCGAATGAGCCAATTGGAGTAAAGTGCCATGCAGATTTAAATTTTTCCCACTTCAGACGAATGCAGCTATCGATATTTTTTGCATGCTAGCATGCTAGTTAACATTCGTGTCAGTCAGCTGTTGGCTCTCACGGTGGCCAGTAGAATCTACCTGCCTATTCGTGGCAGCCAGCTACTGGCTCTCACTCTGGCCAGTAGAAAATGGCCGCAAACTACATGAAAACTACCGTAGAAGCATGAAAACATCGATTATTTCCACTATCGATGGGAGTTGGGAAATGCAAAGTCGGTCTTGGCCTTTCTGCTAACTTGGCGCATGTGCATGTAAACTTTGGGGAAAATCTGTCGAAAATTGCGGCCGTGCATTCGTTACACACACACACACACATATATCCTGCCTATTATATATATATATAAGGAGGAGGCACGGTGGAGCAGTGGATAGCGGCTTGGATTGAGGAATCGCAGAGCCGAGTTCAAATTCCAGTCGAATCCACTACATTCACTTACGTGCTAATACCCTTGGGAAAGGTATGTATCCTCTTCATCTCCCTCCAGCTATGGGTAAAATAGCAGGACAGACTGGGTTCTATAGCCTGGTCTAGGAGAAGGACAACTCTGAATTCAAAACCTGCGGAGGGTCGTTTGGGAACCCTGTGGCATGCATTCGGTGCACCAGGTTTCTGTATTCGTCCCTCCAAAAAGTGTGGTTGGTCCTGCACGAGGCCTTCACCACTATAATCAAATCTCATGTGCCGGTGTCGGGATGTCGGTTTCCTGGGGACTTATCGGCCTGACCCTCATACGTCGAACGCGACGGGAGAGTCGATTATATATACATGGTGGTACTCGCTTGCAAAAACCTCGGATAGCTCAACTTGCACTTGAACAAATAGGTACCAGAGGAAAAATAGGGAATAAAAAAAAGAAAGAACCAAGAACATTAAACCAAGTCGAAAACAATCGTCCAGTGTTTAAACACCAAGTCTAAAGAAAAACAAAACAAAACGACGAAAAAGACAACTAAGTACAACGCCCA